AGTACATTTTGTAGTGCAGATTTTTCTCTACCAGTGGATAGAGTAATAAAGGTTCCAACCTTTAGTTTCGAATCGCAATAGTTAAAATATAAAAAAGTGTGAAAAAATTTCCCGTCCAAACAAATTTTTCAGGCCTTTCAAAGATTCCCTCACTACTCTCGAACAAAAACTGACAAAAAATTTCCAAGCTCATATTCAGAAATAGCACAAAATTCTGGTTTTAATCCATAGTTTTCGACTCGTCTGAAATATTTTCAAGTGGGTCAGATATAAACAAACATTTTGTGCGAAAACTTTCGATCCACCCGTTAAATACTCGAGAAACGGTTATATCTGATATGTTCATTTTCGCTCACTCAATTTTCCCATTCAAACTCTTGAAAGTATCTATCATGTTGAAATATATATTCCATTGCGCGAACCTGTTGTATAGTCTTTTTGAAATGGGTAGTCTACACTGTCATATTATCTGTAATCCATTTGATTGTCTTGTGTCGTTCGAGTGTTTAGAATCAGATATTCGTACTTGTTTTCTTCGCTCATCACATCACCTACAATTTTGAACAGAAGAGTTATAGTTTTCATGCAACGGTTATCATAATGCATTCGACAAACTTCGTGCTAAGCTTTCAGAGGATGACGATCGTTGTCAAACGATCCAACGGATGGTCTTTCATGGCGCAAAATATGTTGCTTTCGTTGACACAATACTTCTGAGGATCGTTAATCCATGACGAATTAGGTATTTTATAATGCCCAAAATGTCCGAAAATTTTAATGAGAAAAGACGTTCTACTGTTGACATTACATATTTCTTACAAATATAGCGGATTTTTCTCTAGTTATTATAGAAAATATAACATTCTTGGAAATAAATTTTCTCGAAAAGAGAACTTTCTTGTTGCTTGCTAAAATTTTCAGACATTCTAAGAATCAACAAAGGCATGAATGTTAGGCAATTTGCTTTGAACTTCTATCTAATTATCAAAATGTTTTGTGTTCGACTTGGCCGTCTTGAACAAATAATAAGCAAGAAAAAAGTTGTTGTTGTTCAACATATACAGTTTCAAGAAATGTTGTTTCGAAATGTTTCAATTAGTTATTAATTTTAATCATAATCACAAACGAATACATAAAATATTTCTTTGATTAAGGATATACACACACGAATGAAATGCACAATAAAAGCGGACAAACGCATTACGAACGTCATAAAATTGGTGACATACAGAAAAAGACATAGGACTCCATATGATGAGCGAAAGGGCATGCTTCAATTTTCTCAACGAAAATTATTCCATTCTGAGTACTTCTCCGTTGGTCTCAATACTCTATCCTCTAAAAATTAGGTAGTTTCAGCAGTGATGCTATCAAGTCCAATAGTGTTCAATTCAACGCTAGTCATGTTTCCCTCATTTCGTTTTTCTACTGTTGTTGACGTTTCATTCATTGGATGTGAAGTAGTAGTAATTTTAGTAGTTATCACTTGTCTCTTCAATCGTTGTCGGATTTCTGGTAAACCGATCAAGGCTAAAAATGGTGATACGGAAGATGTTAAATACGGTAAATAATGAAGAATATAAGTAATAAACCAGGTACCAAAAGATGGATCAAAAAAATTTTGTGCAATAATTATGACAATCCAAGGCATCCAGGCTATTAAACACATTAAACTGATGGCTAATAATTGTATAATCATTCGATGATTTCGTTTCAATGTATTAGAGACTGATACTGATGTAGCCACTTTTCGTTTCAGGATGACAACACGACCAATCATTAATAGATTAAAAATTAATACAATAAAACAGGGTAACATTGTGTCAACAACGGTGTCATATGTATTAACTGAGGTCTCAGCAAAAAAGCATGCACCACCACAACCAAATGCTGTTAAATCATATTGATGATTGCGTAGGCATGGAGAAAGAACGATCAGATACATATACAGAGCAGGAATGTAAAAAGTGGCAATTACCATTGGAACAAAATGAAATAATACTTTTCGTTTTAAAAAACTGTTTTTATGGAATACCAATAGATAACGTTCAATAGATGCATACATGGTTAAAAATAGAGATGTGGTTTCAAGTATATAATCCCAATAGACCCAAAACGTACATATTTTGGATGTTTGAACATATCCCAAGCCAAGATAAGATAATGTAATTGGTAATTCAGTTGCAATTAACAAAAAATCAAAGATTAATATCAATAAAATAACATGATGATTGATACGATCAAAAAGCATTTGTTTACGTAATTGAATAAAATAATAAAAGATTATGAGAAAACAGATCAATGATGGTAGAGCGAATATGATTAAAACAGGCATAGTTATACTACGTTGAGTTTGACTAACGAAACATTGACCATTTAATGGAAACGATGTATTACTTGTTTGATTATTCATTTTTTAGCTTTAAGATAACGTATGCCTTTCCACTATGTGACAACTATGTCTGCAAGTATTGTAATAAAGAAGAAGAAGAAGAAGAAGAAGAAATAGAAAAGCCTGCTCCACTGTAAAAAATTCTTAGAAAAAAAAATGCTTCTTTTTTGTGGAGTGTTACGAGTCAGAAAAAAAAGTAAATCTTTCTTGCTGGATGATACAAAAAGATGTCGAAAGATTTTACTGTATTAGACAAATGATGTTCTAGAAAAACCTTGTACACTTTTATGTCATGTGAAGCATTAGTAAATCAACGTAATCAACCTTATTTTGATGATAAATGATTTGCATAAGTTGTTAGATTCTAGAGGAACTGTTTCTTAGTTTGTTTTTCTCAAAGATGAGATTCTCAGTCGATTGTCTTCTTCGAGAGAAATTTTATAAGAATAGTGATTCGAAACACAACTGTTTCTCTTACCAACCTGCTAGCTAATCTATTGTTGGAAAGCCATAACTTTGTACGGCAGCTGACTTTTTTCTACTGTCAGCTAAGACTTGCATTCAAAGTAGCTAAGAGTGGAAAAATTAGCCGAGATAATAAAACAAAAAAGAAAATATGTACTTAAAGAGCGATATAAAATTGATGAGAGTCGAATAAATGAAAAGTTTTACACATAATTTTGAATTTGTATTTTATTTTTTATTGTTATCGTACAATATTTAAGGCACGGCAAATGCTAATCTCGAATGATTTTTTTCTTATTCATGTATATCGTTTGATAGAATTTGATGAACTTGTCACGAATATATAGTTTTTATTTTGATTTGCTACGGTACAGTTCAGAAAAATATAAAAGAACTTGAATAACTGATAATGTTGCATTTATTAGTGCTATTTGATTACATTTAGAGTTAATGAGCTTAAAAAAATCCTCTCTAATATATATAACTCTAGCATGCTTCATAGTACGTACTTTAGAGTATTCATGAAAAACTATCTTGTTTTTTTTTTTCTAATAAAAAATAGAAGCAAGTGTCTTATCAGATTAAAATCGCTAGGTCATGACCTACAAGATTACTGATTTAGTTTGTTAGATTCTGTTTTATTGTTGAGAAAATTGATTTTTTTTTGTCGTTAGATAGTAATATTAAGCGAAATGATGCAAAATAGGCTTGTATTTATGAGTTTTTATAATCACGGTTCAGTCAAAAAGCAAAATAGATAGCATATTCGGAATTAGCGTCAAAAACTGCATCAAACCATATGTGTTTTAAGAATTTTTCTTCCAACAAAAATTTGACCATTGAGAGACTAGCGGCAAAATTTTAGAAAAATAGAGCTGAGCAAGACGTTAGGTGTATTTTGTATCGGGAAAATTTTTTAGTAAAACACATATGAGTTGATGTTATTTTCATTGCTAATGCTGAATATACAATCTATTTTGCTTTTTGACTGAACCATAATAATGAAAATCCCAAAATGCAAGCACATTTTATGTTCTGTCGCTTAATATTACCGCCAAACAAGAAAAAAAAATCAATTTTCTCAACAATAAAACAGAATCTAACAAACTAAATCAGTACTTTTGTAAGTCATGACCTAGCGATTTTAATCTGATAAGACACTTGCTTCTATTTCTTATTAGAAAAAAACAACAAGATAGTTTTTCATGAATACTCTAAAGTACGTACTATGAAGCATGCTAGAGTTATATATTAGAGAGGATTCTTTTAAGCTCATTAAATCTAAACCTAATCAAATAGCATTGTTATACTTAGTTGTTGATGCTGAATCAAAATAAAATATATTCGTACATTTTGACAATTTCTGTGAAAAAAGCGAGTTCATACTAACAAATGCTACACTTTCAGTTATTCAAGTTTTTTTTAATATTTTTCTGAACTGCACCGTAGCAAATCGAAATAAAAAATATATATTCGTGACAAGCTCATCAAACTCTGCCAAACGATATATAAATGAATGAGAAAAAAAGTCCCTTGAGTTTTGCATTTCCTGCAACTTAATACAATAACAGGGTAAATGAATAACAAATAATAAAGGTGTAAGTGTGGATGCAGTTTTTCTCTTAACTTACACCCTCACAAACGGAGAGTACGATACAATCTAGTCTATCAAGCAGTTAATTAGTTTCGTTTTGACAATCTAAGAAGTATATGAGACAAATGCAAATATTGAATCACAAACTGCACAGAACGATGAAGGAAGGGACAGCCGGCATAAGCCATTTTGAGCATATGTGCAATGGAATAGACGAATATGTAGCATTAAAAACTCTTAACGCAAGCATGCTCATAAAATACTTTCATTTCCTTTCATTAAAATTGATATACATGTGATCGTTCTTATTTCCATCATGTTCTAGTTCTACACATTTAGGAAATAGTGGTTGTTAGAGTCCGACACCTTCTATCTTAATTAATTCAATACGGTCGAATTGAGATTTTGCATAAGTAGATTAAACTGAATCGAAGAAAGTTTTGTACGCTCGCCTTTTTCGTTCAACTTCGGCATCCATGGTTCACAAACATGTAGACATTAGCATAACCAGGTTTTTTAGATTATGATCACAAACTTATATTGAGCCAAATTCTTTTTTCAAAACTCATTCTAGTATTTCATATTACTACAGCAGAAGCTTCACGAGAAAAAGCCTTTCAAAAAAAAAAAAACATTATTCGAGAAGCTCACCAAAGAAATAGAACATTAGTTTCATTCCGCGACCATAAAGCTTCAATATTACTAATGACGAAAGTGAAGTCGTAATATTTTGATGAAACCAGTTACTCTAAGAAAAAAATGTTTTTGAACGAAAGAAAATAGAACAGTGTAGAGACACGGGATTTTCCCATTCATTTCTACTTTTATTATGAAAAAATACATATATAAAAGGCTAATAGTATAATTATTAGTCTTGAATTCTGATGATTCAAATTTATCTAGCATTAAATGCTTTTTCTAGTTACATTGTATGCAAATTTAGTTTTGATAGAAACTTACTTCTTTCAGCTCAATGAGTAAAGATCATTTTCACTTGCAATGAACAACTAATTAATCAAGCAGCGAAAAATATATTATCAAAGATTGATGTTGAAGTCAGTCCCATAGATCTTCTTTTACATTGCCTCAATCATTACTCAAATTGGATATTGATCGTATAGATATGATCAAATAGATTTATTTGACAGTGACACAAGAATGCAAACACATCTGAAAGTGGGATCTCTCTTAAGTTTGAATCAATTTCAATGAGACAAGCTTCGTAGCTTTTGTGTCTCCAACATGGGCGCCATTTTTATGGAATAACATATTTTTCATTCGATGATCGAGAATTAGTCACACATTATCAACCATGGTTGGTGATAGAAGTTAAGTTTTAATATATTTGCTCTTTCTCTATTATTCAGAAGTGATCAACAGAACAATCTTACGAAGGAACTAACAAAACTTATACTCGCCATTCGAGCTCATATTGGGCTCACAAGGAGATTTCGATACAACTAGAAAAATCCTAAAAGGATTGATACCCACGGACTTCTGAAGTCAAGCTATGACTATTATACTGAATTCTCAATCCTACTCTAGGTATTTACCGAAAACTCGAATAACTGAATTTCGACTTAAAATTCTACTCGTAGAGAGGTCAGATGACTCTGAATATATTCTGAATGTTTCAGTAGAAAAAAACATTCTTTTCGACTGAAGTTTTCAGAATATATTCAGAGTCATCTGGTCTATCTGTGGACCAAAATTATAGGTCGAAATTCAACTATTTGATTTTTCAGTAAATAGCTAAAGCTAGATCGAAAACTCAGTAAAACAGTCATGGCTCGGCTTCAAAGTCTTATGGAAGCACTAATAGTGTCCTCGTCAGACTAAATCGCTTCTAACCAACTACTTCGAGAACGGTTATTGTTTAATGCTCATAGAATATGTTGGGTATTCGATTCATCTTACATCTTGATGCGTTTGAGTACGCCACCAGACAAATGACATCGCATAGTACAATGGCCTCATTGGATGAAAAAGTATGTCTATACTTTGCTAAATTTTCTGAGAATTTTTAATACTTAAGTATTGGATTTTCAAGTTTCTCTTGATCTATTACTACTCTCGTGTTCTTTTTATTATTAATTTGATCGTCTTGTATGTCAGGAATGTGTTTCTTTAGAACTGGCAAGGCGACAGAGAGTTAATTAGAGCGAATTAATAAAAAAAAAAAAACAAGACGTGATATAAGAAAAAAAGATTATTTAATTTAAATTTTAAGAGAGCAGTGTTTTGTTTATTTATTTATTTATTTTCTTAAATAATGAGAGAAAAAAAAAAGCTTAATGCCAAAACCAAACAAAGTTAGCAATGCATATTTTTTTGGATTATGTTAAGATAATAAGGCATAAAAGGAATGTGAGAGATAAATAAAATACAAATAGCACAACTAAAGCATTTCAAATTGTCAATTCAAAAAAAAATTTCTTTAAACACCCGATGATTCATTTGGTACAGTAACAAATTGTTTTCCACCTTGTAAATATGTTTTAAATTGTTCTGGTATTGGATATTCTTTATATTCTCCATCACCAAATGGAACATTAATTGTCATTTCAGATGATTTTGATGTTATAAATTCAGTATTTAATGAACTTTTAGATAAATAAATATGACATCCATCAGTTTTTTCGATTTGAATTGTTGGTACATTTTCCAAAACTTGTGTTTTAACTTGACGACAATTAATAAATTCAATTAATGATACAACAGATGTAAATTGTATGCCAACTTTTGTACATTGATCAAGTACAATTGAATTAACTTTACCTTGAATTGTTATTGTTGAATTTGAACATTTATAAATATATATTGTATGTCTCATACTTGTTTCTGTTATCTTTAAATCTGTTCGACCATTTTGATATTCAACAATCCATTTATTACCTTCAAGAGCTAATTTTGGTGGACCAGTAACTGAATTTGATGATGGATTTGACGTATTCATCTAAAT